AGAGTTTCTTAAATATTGATGATGAGTCATCATCATCAATAATATTAATCTAATTTACATTAGATAAAATTTGTAAGAGATCCTCCTATCTCTCAAATACCTCCTGCTCTTCTTGTACTACTACTTCCACCTTCTATTATTACAAACATCTATAAATATATTTATTAAAAACTTCTTTTTTACCTAAATGATTTGGTCTCATCAGGAGTGATTTTGATGATCACATCTATTTTTACTTGAGGAGGATCTGGTAATTTTACAAGTTCTGTACTTGTTCTTTGGTCCTTCTTCTATTCAGGTGCTGCCTTTAAACAAATTTACTCGTAAATGGAGTCAATGAAGCCATTAACTCTATCGGATGATTCCTAAGATGGTAAAAAGAAATTCTTACATCCATAAATTGATCGAAGTTTTGAATGCACTGTCTAGCTCTTCTTAATTCTGTTCCTAAAAGGATACAGATTCCCTTTCTTAAAAAGGAAAATATTTAAATAAATGATTTGAAGAAATAAACTTCTATTAAGTTTTATATGTAGAATTTAGATCAATATAGATTAATATCAATTATTTTTCAAAGTATTCTTATAGAATATGTATTTTGCCTCTAAATACAGTCCAATTTAAGTTGACATTTATAAAAATATGATGTTACCTAATTTTATTTAGAACATTTTTTAGTTGTTCTCACAGAAGACTTAGCTTCACAAATGGAATTTTCTAATATTTTCTAAGAAAATGAATAACGCTAGGAGCCATGAGGCAGTGCATTTGATAGGGTTTCCTCTAATTTTACTAGTCATATAGAAGCATTTTGAGAAACTCTACCATAAGTATTTAGATACAAGTTCATCATAATCATAAAGTCATTTTTGTTCTGTATTATTATTATAGTGATTGCTACTATGCTAACATAATCAAAGACAATAAATGTGGAGAAATAAGAAAGAAAGCTTACCAAGATTTTATTAATTAATCATTGATTGAAATTCAGATAATGATGCAATATTTTATGGTTTTAATAAAGGATTTTTATTTAATCATTATAATAAAAGAAGGAAAACATAAAGGTTCTTACCTATAAAGTGTTGAATATGGATCATAATCAAAAAAACAAGTTTACATTTTTTTTTGAAAAGATTTCAAATAAAAAGAATGTATGCTTTATGGCAGATATTAGTTTGCATCTTCTTTGTATAATTATGTTATTACATCAGTTTCATCGAATATATATAAAGATTACTTATTCTTCAGTTAGGTTCTGAGAAAAATTATGTTTGACCTATTCTTATCACAAGAAAATGAAAACATTATTTTAAATATCATTAATGCAGAAATAAAACAACTTGTGCAAAGACGTATCACATACGACAAGACAAAAGTGCAATGAGCAAATCAGTAACTTCTATACTTTTCATACATTAAAAATAGGATTGAAATCAATAGAAAAGTGGCAGCTATTATGACCTGAAGTTTTCTACATATCCTGCATTATTCTTTTAGGCTTGTGAAAGTGAGATCAAATTATGTGATATGGAAAGGAAAATAGATTTTGTGCTATCTTTTTTCTAGATTAAAGTTTTAATTACATTTAAAATTAGTTGAGCTTCAATTAAATTTT